AAAAAAAAAAGCCCACATCAGTAAAGCAGCATGAGCTCAATGATCAAACTCCTGAAACCTGGTTAACACTTACCAGAACCAGTAGACTGCGAGTAACCAAGTCAATGCGTCCTCTTGTTGGCACAGTCACAACTTCAGTGCCACATCGAAGCTGGGATTGTTCAGCCTGAGCACTGACAGTCACATTTACAGATCCTACAGTGCAGAGAGGAAGTGAGCAACAACTCACGTACACCTCAATTTAGAGAGAGCGCAAAACAGACCGAGAACAGAAGCGGACAGAATCCATTTAAAGGTCTTTCTCCCATTGGCACAGAGACAGGATGAATACGGCTCATTTAAAGGTCTAAGACTGAAGTCCAAGGAAGAAGCTGGAGTCACTTTAACCTGCCAATGAATTGCATGATTAGTGCACAGAGTAAAGAGGACTCTACGGATCCATTTAGGGGTGTGATTGTCATGCTCCATTTTCTAGGATGAAGTTTACACTAGTAACTTGGCTGATTTAGGCCTGTCAGGGACAGCGGTCGACTGACATTTTTCCATATTTAGTGTGGTGGTCGGTTCATAGCAGTGACCAAAATTAAGACGCTTACTGAAAAGATTCTTGCATGTGAGATTGCTTAATTTTGATAAACCAAATACTCATGGAAGGTGGCCCTGTATTTTACATGGCTAATTCGAACAGCGTTACAATAGGCTACATCTTGGTGTGAACATCCACAAAGCAAAGTGACACTAATACCAGCTTGCACTTCTCTAACAGAACTACAAAAATCACACACACCAATACCCATTACATAAATATGAATCCAGACCATGATGCACTTGGACAGATAGTTGAAGACCGTGGCCTTCAGCTCAAAAGACTCTCCACGGATGATGGAGTAAGGCAGGGAGAGCTCCAGGAAGAAGGGCTGGAAGACAGTCAGCTGAACTGGAGGAGCCAAGCCAAAACCTTTGGAGGACAGGCAGAACGCCTCAGTCTCCCATGTGGTGATGGTGTCAGGAACCTTCAGAGGAACTCGTGTGGATCCAGTGTTTCTGAAAAGGACACCGGAAGATATAAACGAGGGGGCCAGGGGAGGCAAACAAATTGAAGCCAAGTGGCTTTAGATCAGTAATGTCAAACTCCGTTCCTGGATGACCACAGCCCAGCAGAGTTCATATTCAACTCGAAACACCTAATCAGGCTCATTTGAAAAACTACAGGACATGTTGGAAACACTCTTCAGGGCTGCGGCAGTCTAGGAACAGAGTTGGACACCTGCTTTAGGCCTAGTCCACATGTACATGGGTATGTTTATAAACCGTTTTTAGAGGTCTTTGAGAAGTGCACGCCAAAGTCTTCACCTTGGCAGTAGTTTTCAAAAAGGTTTCAGTGACTGGATACTGCATTTGTGGGGACAAAATGGCCAAAGCAGCATAGAAGCCTGCCACTTTGAAAATACCAGTGTTTGTGTGGACAGGGCCTTGGAGTCAATTTGCTGAAACAAGAGATTCTTCACTAACCCCACTTGAGCAAGCTGCCAGATCCAGGTTTCTGGAAAGTAAGTCCTGACGGTCACATCAAAAGAGGAGCTGCCATCACCTCCAGTGCCCTCGCCTCCAGCGCCCACTCCTACAGGTGCAGCAGCCATTGCAAAGGCTTCAGGACCATGAAAACGCACTGAAAGAAATACCAGGAGTGCAACCACCAGTTGAGGTTTGGCCATTCATTAAGTTTTATTAGAACAATCATGTCTGTGCACCAGGCTATCCTACAGTAAGAAACTAATAAGATTCATGATAGTGTTGTAGCACAGGTAACCCCCTAAAAAAAAAACCCCAAAGAACCCGGGGGGTGGGGGACTTATTGCATTATGCATTCATGGTAAATGGTCACCTTCCTGCAGGATACACAAGGTTTTAATTTGCCAGAATGAAGTGGTCACAGTTGAAAGCTTAAATTAAACCGTTTTAACGCCCCTTGCGTTTGGATGTACCAAGTCTGGCACAAGAACACCACTTAGGCATTAGGTGTGCCTGTGTATTTCACTTTCAGTAACAAACCTATACGGACCATTACTCAGCAAGCCTTTGACAAACCTTTAAAAGTCAAGATTTACATCAAGAGCCCAAGACATACTGTAAGGGAAGTTGCGATAGTAATTCAGGCCTCTGTACATCAGGCAGTGAGGTTCTTGGACAGGCAGATTTGTTGCAACCTTAATCCCCACACTCTGTCAATGCAAAGCAAGAGACAGTTGGAAAAAAAAAAAAAAAAACGAAATTTAAGTATCCAGCCACCAAGTGATTGCAAATGACTTCCAACCTTGAAAGCTTCGAAAGCTTGGTCTGTAGGAACCGATCGACGGGGTCGAACATTCAGGCACTCCCGTTCATCCTCCACAGGATACGGATAATCTGATAGTGATCGCACTGGGAGCAAGTTGAACACCTAAAACATGGGGAGGTTACATGCATTAAACTGCCAAATACGGACTAACCCAACTTCTGGATTAACTAATATAAAAAAATAAACATTTGGGTTAGTCCATATTTGACCCAAAGTTGGGTTGAAACAGCCCAGCATTTTTTTTTTTTTTTTTGGGAAAGGAACAGCCCGTAAGGCCTGCATTTATCTTTGGAACACAATTTAAGATTTTTGATGGAACCCGACAGCTCTCCGACCCTCTCATGGACAGCAAGGGTACTACCACGATCAACATCCAGATACATGCATTAAACTGCCAAATACGGACTAACCCAACTTCTGGATTAACTAATATAAAAAAATAAACATTTGGGTTAGTCCATATTTGACCCAAAGTTGGGTAAAAAACCACGATTTTTTTTTTTTTTTTTTGAGAACGTAGCAAGGAGAGCTGTAAAATAATCAATGTGACATGGATACACAAACAGCGCATGTTCTGTCAGCCACACCACAAGGATAAGTTCTCTAGTTTGACAAACACGTACCCATGTGGTGCAGCCGACACCGAACATACGCAGTTTGCTTTCAGTGGATGTCCTCCAAAA